GCATTTCACCTTATGACCTTTTGTTTCAGTGTCAACAATTTTCCTCTTCTAGTTTTATTTTCTTTCTGGGAAAAATAAAGCTTTCTTAAAAAAAAAAAATTAAAAAAAAAAAAGTTAAGTCTTTATACCCATCTGGGCATAAAGACAGCCATGGCTATTGTGGAAGTGCTGTGATGTCTTTTCTAAGAAAGTATATTTTTCAATATAGTTTTAAAAAGTCAATTATTGTTTATTTAACCCAGGAAAAATTTTAAATAGCTTTTTATTTAAGGGAGTCACAGTAATTGGTTTTCTTTTATTATCCATCACTAAAATGTAATGGGAACAGTTTGCTGGCAGTACAAATGTAATCGTGGAATCAGAATGCCCAAGCAGGTTTCCTCTTAGGGCTCCTAAAGAGTAGGTACAGATACAGGTCTTAGATGCAGAAGATACTGGAACGGAGGCCAAAGCCCTAGATATCACAACTTTTCAATATGGATGCCTTCCTTCTGTTATTTCATTACTCCTTCCCAACCCTTTCCCTTATTTTGTATTTGAACTACAAAATACACTACTAAATAATGTAAATATGAGATTTATTCAACTTAGCTACTAAAAGTGGCCACTTTATAAAACCAGAAAACCAACTATTGAGCTAATTACTTAGTTAAGAGATCCTACTTAGAAATAAGCAGCAACTTGTCCCATTATCAACACAATTTTCTGTTAAAACGATTCTAGGAGTTACAACTAAAATTCAAACTATTTAAAAATTGAGAGGGAGCAAATCAATCCTGTCATTATGGTCAATACTCTTATTACTATTAAGGGCTATTTAATCTTTCTGCAGCCACTCTACCAGGTTTGGTGGACAGAAAAATCCTGACTGAGAATATGCTCTGAAAAAAACCACCATCTGACAACCCCTCAGTTTTAAGCCCATGCTTTTGATAGATCTCTTGCAAAAACAGTACACTCATAAAACATTCAGTACTTTCCAGCAAAAAGCAAGTTTAAGTATACCTTTTGACTTTCAGAAGACTGCCTTTTAATCTAGTATCTAAACACAAAAATCAAAGCAAAAACTGGGGCCCTCATCTCATGCTGTCATACTAGACTGCATATGTTGATAAAAGTAACAATCTGAAAGTAACCTCCAAAACCCAATTCAAAGCAAAGATTTTTGGGAGCTTGAAGACTTTCATTTGCTGTGGAGAAGAAATTTTTCCTGGCTTGCAGCTTTTAAAAACAAAACTTAAAATACCTAATTAAATGTGACCCCTCCCAAAACTAACCTTGGTAAAACACATTTCCTAAACAACAATCAACCCCCATCACTATACACTGTGAGAAAATAATACAATTTATGTGTAAAAATGGATCAACAAATGACATAATGCTAAGGCACAAAGGATATACACAATTGTGGTTCTGTCCTTTTGAGCAAAAATGTCAAGTCAACTATAAAAATATTAATACTTATCACTTAGGTTTGGGGTTTTATTGGCCATAAATGGAACTGGATATACAAGAATTCCATTTAACACATCTCTCACCATCTGAATTCCTCATCAATTTTTTCCAACAAAACCAATATTACTTACCTTATAATCACTTGGAACTTCAGTTTCAAAAATGCCACCTTCTAGTTTCAGACAATGCCCACATTATGAAAACATTCTTCAAAAGACTCATACCTAATCACTTACAGTGAAACAAAACAATGCAAACTAGTTTCTCCCACCTCACATAAACTCAATCCTTTATTAAAAGGAATTTGGTGCAATGGCTACAGTTCTCTAGAAAAGAAATAGATTGAGATGTTTCAGTTATGAAAATTAGAATTTGGAATTGGGGCTAAATCAAAGAATATAAAAAGCAGCCTAGATTAAGCAGAAGAAAAGAAAAACTGCAGAATCTGAAAGGCAGTTTGATGGGATGGTATCCAGATACTGCTCATGCCCGTAGAAAGAAAGACTAAATATAAAGCACCTATACTGCAAACACATTACTTCTATAAAAACAGCCAATATTCTATCAAATTGTAACATAACTGTTAACAGAGTACCTCTTATGGCAAAGGTGTCAGCCCCTGTGCCCCCCCCCCCCC